TGTTTGCGATGGAGATGACGAGGTTGGGAAGCCGCTGCAGATGTTTTGGGAGCGCTTTTGTGGCAGCAAAGGCGTGCGCATCGGCGTGGATGCTGCTGATCCTCATCGACCAGGAGAACTTGTCATGGAGGACCGCCCCCTCGAGCCTGTGCGACCCCCCCTGGAGCCCCTCTACTTTGGTAACCATGGTTTTGATTTCTTTCTTCTTATATGATTCTTGTTTTTCCAGGATGGCAGGAAGGAGGAGGCAGCCCGCTGCATGGTGGCGGTACGTAAGTTTTGACCCGAGTGCTGTGCTAACGTATTTATTTGTAACTTAGTAACAGGGAAGGGATCAGCAGTGACTCTAGCCGTCGGACTTGATGATGTTCCCAACATCCTGGACCTTGTTTGCAAGTTGACGGAGAGTGACTACTTTTTCTACTTGCCAGTGAAGAACCTGGGATGGAACTTGCGGACTCACACAGAGCTACGAGACACGGTAGAAGAGTACTACTCAAAACTCGAAGGTGACAGGAACGCCTTGCCCAGAGTGCCACCAGCAGCATACCCATGCGTTGAAGTTGCAACTTCTCCATTACGTGTGAGCGAGGCTAGGCTGCTGCTGCGGGGGATCCGGTCCAACCAGCTCCTACGCTCACTGCTGTTGCACCGGCCGCCACACTCAACACTCCCGCACTACTACACGATTGTCAATGCCAGCGCTCACGCGCGTCTCTGGCTCGGCCGCTACGACCTCCCGATCTACTACGACTACAGCTTGACGTGTAAGTTAGATCCGCCCGCTTCTCGCTGACTATAACTTGCTTCCTGCTCGTTTCTAGACGGTGAGCTGTGTACCCGAGGAGCTGCATCGGCCGAAGAAGAGGTAGGCTTTTATACTTCTCTCCACTGCAGCTATAGAAACAGCTATTAATGTCGTGTTCAGGCTCTCAATGGTGGTTTCCTGGTGGAGCGCGGGCCGTCTGTAGTAGAGACTGTGTTGCGAAACAACACACTAAGCCATATGTGGTACGTATGTTGTGTCTTCTCTTAGAAGATCAATGTCTTGCATTGCATTGCTTTTTGTAGGAAAGAAGGCCCAACTGCATACGAGAAGCTAGTCCATATGCGTCCCGAGGATTACGAGCCATTGCCGGAAGGAGCTGTGGCGCAGGATGAGAAGCTGTGGAAGGCGCTCCAGCAGCTGAGGCATGCTGTGGTGGCTACGCCCTCGTATGCATGGGGGCATGCTCTCTCCACCGCCGTTGTCATGTACGCCAAGCATTTCCCGCTGGAGCCCGAGGCCAAGCGCAAGTTTCTGTTCAGGCACGGCGTGCCCAAGCACTTTGGAACGCTGCAGGTTTTCGACACCATTCTCAAGCTGTCACAGCCACTGGACTCGGTGGCGATCAAGGAACGAACCTGTGCTTTAGAAAGCTATACACCACATTCCAAGCTCGCATCCATCAGACGAAGATTTAAAAGAAAGCAACGTTTTTTTCGTATGATTACCACTAAATAGACGAGTGAAAGTCCACTTTGTGCTGGAGCTTTTATATAAGGGTTCTAAAGGAATTTTCAAAAACCCTAGAGTTTTAGGGCAGAAAGATATGTTTTTACTTCGATCGCGTTGCCGATCGATCCATCGCAAGTGCGCATCGTCACCGCCATCGCTGCTGCTGCCTGGATGCGACGAGAATGCCGCAATGCTGGTGTTTGCGAGGGGATTGAAGGTGCGTCGTCCAAAGACAAAGAAGCCGATCACACCGATTCCTCTCACCCCAGCGATCAAGAGCGTGCTCCAAGGTCAGGAGGATCCCAGTCCAGCGCTAGAGGGCGACAAGCTTACCAGGAACGCTCTCAAGCGACGCAGTGACAAGGGTCTCTCGCTCGTCAGGCTCATGGCGACTTTGGCACCCGGCCAGATTAAAAATGTGATCCAGTAAGTCATCTACTTCTTTTTTCCTGGGTCGTCACTCGCAGTTCTTCTTTCTTTCTAGTTCTTCTTTTTTTTTTTGGTTCTTCGCGAAAGTTTCCTTACTCGCAGTTCTTTCTTTCTTTGTTCTTCAGATGGGCTTCGCTACCACCAGAGGTCTTGGAAGCCACACTGATTGTCCAGGTAAACAAGTGTCCGAGAAAGAAATTTTCGTTTTTATACGATCGATCGAGACAGTGATTTTGGTTTTGTCTTTCTCGTAGAAAATGGAGATCACTGGTGTGAAGGAAGCGAAGAGGCGGCAATACAGTTTTATCGGTCGGTGTCTCGATGCCTTTTTTTCTTCTCGTTTCCTTCTAACTGGAAAACACACAGAGGGAATGGTTCGTCACTGTCGGCTGGACGTGCTCGAGTATGTGATATATTGTGTGAGGCTTGGAAAAACGGTTTCCCTCCAACAATTCTTCGCAGATCAATCTTCTCATGTATGCGACTGCGGCTAGGTTTTCTTCGTTTATCTTACTTTTCTTTATTCCACTTTCTTCAGAGGGATAAATACGTGAAGACCACCTCTGAAACATGGGTGAATGGACTCATGGACAACGAATTGAGTGTTACAAGGCTAATCTATACGCTGCCATACGGGTATGACAGGGAGGTAAGTTCTTCATTCACGATTAAAATCTGGACAAATGAACGTATGTACTTGGCAGGAATTGCGGAGGTTGCTACGCGAGTTTAAAATGAAAGTGAATCTTTCGAGGCAGTCTAAACAACAGAAAGAGAGTGAGGAGATCCAAAAGTCAAAGCGAAGGAGCTGCGTGAAGGCCAAGAAACTGCTGGTTAAGTTTATGACGGGCCTGGCACAAAAGGACTACTGCACGAAGTCTCTAGCAGGGGAGTTCACAAAGGCTTTAGAGATAGAAGGCGGCGAAGCAGCCATCCAAATAACCGATGGATTGGACCGGGTGGAGCTCTCGGACTCGGACCAGGCCGAGGAAGTCGACGGGAACTCGGACACGGAACTCGTTGCTTCTGACCGTCGAGACAGTGCTTCTGACTGCGAAGAGGAGGTCTCGGAGGTAGAACGCGATCCAGAACACGAAGACTCGGATGGAAATGTAGAAGACGACGTCGACAAAGCAAGAGAACTCTAGCGAAAATCTGGTTCAAGCGACAACTTGACAAGTGGCTATCACGAACACGCGACAAAATGGCTTGGTAAAAATATCATTTTTGTCCTCCCTTTTTCATGAATATTCTTGTCTTTTTTTTTTTTACTTAGGTTACTCGGGAGGAACACTTGGGAAAGGCACAATGAATCTATCGAGCTCGCCGCGGCTGATGATAGTTTCCGATCTAGACCACACCATGGTACGCAAATCGATCGACCTTTCATTTGGTCTCAAAAAGTTTTGATTTTGCACAGGTGGATCATCACGACCCGGAGAACAAGTCCCTTCTCCGCTTCAACGCATTGTGGGCTGCCGAGTTCAGTCACGATTCCTTGCTGGTTTTCTCGACTGGGAGGTCTCCGACCCTTTACAAAGAGTTGAGACGAGAGAAGCCATTGCTCACTCCGGGCATTACAATTCTCTCGGTCGGAACGGAGATAATGTATGGCGATTCCATGATTCCCGATAGTGGCTGGGAGCACGAGCTCGACAAAGGCTGGGACCGATCGATCGTTATGGAAGTAGCTTCTGAGATGCCCCAGCTCACCTTCCAGGTTCGTTTTCATTGAGAAAAACTTGCGAGTTCTCGTTTTTATTCTGTAACTTGTAGAGTGCTACAGAGCAAAGACCACATAAAGTGAGTTTTTCAGTGGACAGGAGTCAAGCACCAGAGATTATGAAAGTCCTCGATGATCGATTGAAAGCTCGTGGGGTATGTGCTCCTTTTCTTATTTTACATTGTCACTCTCGCTGTTCATATGCAGTTGGAGGTGAAACTCATCCACAGTGGCGGCCAGGATTTGGATGTTCTTCCCATTGGAGCAAGCAAAGGCCATGCATTGTCCTATCTGCTAAAGAAGTTCGAGGCCGAAGGAAAATCTCCACTGCAAACTATGGTTTGTGGCGATTCCGGAAACGACGCTGAGCTTTTTGCTGTTCCTGGAGTATATGGCTCAATGGTTGGCTTTTTCTTTTCTTTCCTTTTTGTCCCTTGTGACTTACTGATAGCTGCTGCATCTTTCACAGGTAGGGAATGCTATGGAGGAGCTGATAAATTGGTACAATGAAAACGCTCGTGACAATCAAAAGATTTTCCGAGCCACTGAGACGTGTGCGTCGGGTATCATCCAAGGATTGCAGCACTTTGGCATCGATCCGTGCGTCTCGCCGCGAGACTTGGAGATGGATGGCGATTTTGTCGCGGGTCACAAAGACGGTCATCAGGCGATTGCTCGCGAGATTGTTCTGCACCAGCTTCTGTGTGAAAAGTGGCTCAAGGGCGAGGTGGAGTGCAGTGACCACGTCTTTGAGATTCTCAAGGCTCCAGTGGTAAGAAAAACTCGTTCTTTTTTTTCTTCTCTGAAATCCTCTTAAGTTGAGTGCTCCTTGATTCAGGCTCCAGATTCTACTTTAATTGGCGCTTGGGGAGTTGATATCCAGCTTGCGAATGCAATCGAGATGCTTCGTCCCCTCCACGGCCTTCATAAGGACAAGCGGTTTTGGATCTGGGTTGATCGAATCCGGGTGACGAACATTGGAAAGGACACTTGGCTTGCAAAGTTCGATAAGTGGCAGCATTATGGTTGGTTTTTTTTTTTTTCAGTTTCTTTGCTTGTGTCTAAGCACCGATTCTTTTCCAGATGGAGAGCTCAACTGTCGTATAACAACCGCTATTTTCCAGTCCCCGGTACTTCTTTTTGTTAGTTCTTTGTAACGCTTGTAATCTACCTTTGCGAATGTTTGTAGGGAGGGAAGCCTTATGCTACCGCCATTCAGATCCAGGAAACTTGGAAGGAAGGCTATGCTGGCAAGCCGCTGTTGAAGATATGAAATTGCGATTTTTTATTGGACTCGGGAATAAACAGTACATTATCACACAGGTATGATTTTGATGCTCTCCAAACTATTCACGTAAGAGCGGACGATAGCAGCTGATATGGAGAACCGAGACTGGCATTGCAAGCTACAAGCTTTTGCATAACTCGTGCTCCTCGCTCGGGATCTCTATACGATCGGCACGACCCGAGAAGGCTAGTCCAGTCCGATGCTTCAGGCAAGAACGGCATAGAATCTATGAGATTCTCTGCGAATTCCAGGTAGCCGGCTCGACCAAGGAGATCGATCACGCAGGAAAAATGCTGCTTGAGTGGCTTGACACTATAGTCGACTTCCAGGCTACGAAAGTACTGCCTTGCCAAGAACACGTCCCCGGAGTGGCCGCAAGCAAGCAAAACCAGGACCAAAGCAACGTCGTCTGGAGAATCCATTAAGCTCCCGCGGTGGAAGAGCTCGATGGTTTCCTTGGAGCGACTGCCGTGAGCAAATCCCGCAAGCATTGCGTCCCTGGATACCATGTCTCGATCGATCATCCCATCGAACATCTTCTTCGCTACATCGAGACGACCGGCGAGAGCGTAGCCGGAGACCATGATCGTCCAAGACACCGAGTCGTGCTCCTCCATTCCTTCCCAGAAGAATCTCTCGGCGCTTCCGATCGCCTTGTTGCGAGCAAAGGCGGAGAGCATCGCGTTTTGGGCGATGAGATCTTTGCTCTGTCCCATCAGCTCATACATTTGCTGGGCTTCTTCGAGATGCCCCTCCCTTGCAAATCCGGTTAGCATGCACGTCCACGAAGCGAGAGTCCGATCTCTCATCGCATCAAACAAGTTTTGAGCTTGTCTTAAATCTCCGAGCTGCGCTTCCGCGGCCAACATTGCGCTGTGCGACACCGGATTCTTCTCCGGCATGGATCTGTAAAGCTCCCTCGCTTTGCCAAGGAATCCACCGTGAGCATAGGCCGTGAGCATTGCATTCCAGGCTACAAGATTCAATCTGGGCATGCTATTGAAAGTTTTCCTAGCCTCGTCAACTCTTCCGCGGATGGAGTACGCGACGAGCAGCGTGATCCACGACACCAAATCTCGTTCCGGCATCTTTTTGAAAGTTTCTTCCGCCTCTTGTATATGCCCTGACACGGCAAATGCTGCGAGCATGGCATTCCATGAGACAATGTTCTTGAAAGCCATCAGATTAAAAACTTTGCAAGCGTAGAAAACATCTCCGTGACGAGAATAGGCAGTAAGAAGTGCAGTCCACGACACCACATCGTGCTCCTCCATCGAGTCAAAGATGTTCTTCGCGTCCTCAAGATGCCCTTTATGGGCATTTACCAAGAGCAAGTTGGTCCAGCAAGCCAAGTTCCATTCCGGCATGGAATAGAACACTTTTGTGGTTTCTGAAAGGATACCGTGTTTAGCGTACGCGGACAAGAAAACGGACCAAACCACCATGTCTCGTTCCGGCATTTCATTGAACAAGAGTCGAAGTTCTTGAAAACGCCCAACACGGGCAAATAGCGCAAGCATGACAGTCCAGGACACCAGATTTCTCTCCGGCATTTTCTGGAAACAAGAACTGGCTTCCCGGACCAGCTCAGCTCTTCCAAATGCGCTTAGCATCACAGTCCACGAATGGATGTTCCTTTCTCTCATGCAGTCGAAGATGGTTTTCGTTTCTTCAGTATGCCCTTCCCGGGCATATGCAAGCAGCATGATCGTCCAGGACTGGAGGCTGTGCTCCGGCATCGCATCGAGAAAACTCCTGGCCTCCTCCAGCAGCCCATCTCGCGCGTACGCGGAGATCATCGATACCCAAGAGAACTCGTCCCTCGCCGTGGAACTTGCAAACACTCTTCTCGCCTCGTCGATACTCCCGCATCGCAGGAACATCTGGATGAGCAAATTGGAGATGTAGGCGTCGCTCCTGTGCTGGATCGCGATTTGGGAGTGGAGCTTCTTCGCATCATGGAGAGATTTGGGGGAGAAGCCTGTGAGCTCTTTGATGCATTGGGCTCGATTCATACACCTACATTGCCACGCTGGAGGGGGCAAAATTTAGTAGTCGGAAAATGCTGTGGCTGCAATTGTTTTTAGCTACCGTTGATTCTCTCTCTTTTTTGGCAGGATTATGGCAATGTTGGTTTTGCTCGAGATGGGAGGATTCGATTTTCCACCTTGGCGCTTGGTTTCTTGGGAGCTTGATTATGGCGCTGGAGAGGATTGGTACGATTGGTCGATCTGAAGAAGCTGGGGAAGAAGAGGCAATAGGGGCGAGCAGGAGATACTTGTGGTGGAAGGTTTGAGAGAGTTTTCAACTCGTATCTTGAGTCTTTTAGATTTGCTAATGGAGCTTGCATCAGCCGGGAGTTTGGATCCTCTCTTTAATGGATATACAATTCAAGACAAACTCAAGCAGAAGCAACAGTGGGATTGAACAAACTTGCAAACGAAATGAGTGTTGTTTCTCTTCTGCCTCTCGTATATGCCCGGCTTCGGCAAATGCAGAAAGCATGCCATTTCATGAGACAATGTTTTTGAAAGCCAGTGCAGTCCACGATACTACATCGTGCTTCTCCATCGAAGCGAAGATGTTCTTCCCGTTCTCAAGATGCCCTTTATGGGCATCTACTAACAAAAGTTGTTCCAGGAAGCCAAGTGCCATTACGGCATAGATTAAAACACTTCTGTGATTTCTGCAACGAAACCATGTTTTGAGTATGCGCATAAAAAAGCAATAACCAGACCACCATGTATCTCGTAAAAGTTCATGTAAATGCCCAAGAAGGGCAAATAGTGCAAGCATGACAGCCCAGGACACCGGATTTCTCTCCGGAATTTTCTGGAAACAAGAACTGGCTTCCCGGACCATCTCAGATCTTTCAAATGCGCTTAGAATCACATTCCACGAATGGATGTTCCTCTCTCTCATACAATCGAAGATGGTTTTTCGCTTCTTTGGTATACCCTACACGGGCATATGGAAGGAGCATTCGTCCAGAACTGAAAGCTATGCTCCGGCATCGCATCGAGCAAAATCCTGGCCTCTTCCAGCAGCCCATCTCGCGCGTACGCGGAAATCATCGATGCCCTCGTCAATACTCCCCCGCACCGCAAGAACATCTGGATTGGGGATGCCCTGTGCTGGATCGCGATCTGAGAGTGGAGCTTCTTCGGGTCATCAAGAGATTTGGAGGGCGAAAGGCAGTTCTTCAATGCATTGGGCGCGATTAATAGACCCATTGCCGCTGCCACGCTGGACGGTTTTTAAGGGGGGCAAAATTTAGGGTTCTTTAGTAGTAGCCTAACATGATGAGCGACGAGGACGAAGACAATTCGGGGATCTACGCGGAGAGCGAGCTCGAGTGCGGCGATGACGATCCCGCTGAGCTGCGCGGATCGTCGCATAGGGTAAGCGCCTCCAAAAGATTGTCCTCATTCACGGGATTGCGTGTTACGCAGGTGATCACCGCCGAATCGCTAGCGCTTGCTCAGGTAAGGGATCCATTCTTTGCAGCGCGCCTCCTCATCGCATCTTTGCCGTGGCAGCAACAAGATCTGCAAAGAGTGATGGACATGTTTGGTGTGAAAATCCAGCACGCCAGGGCTCTTCTCATCCACTACCGATGGAACGTCGAGGTTTTGTTTAGCTACATGGCTGAGGCTGGGAGAGATGCGGTCTTTCGCAGGGTTGGTTTGCCAGCTTTGGCTGAAAACCAGCCCGCCTTGCAGCCGCTGCCAAGCACTGTCACTTGCGGCATTTGTTTCGACGATGTTCCACAGGCCGATGCCACTCAAATGGATTGCGGCCATGCCTTTTGCAACGATTGTAAGTGTTCTTCCTTTGCTATCTTTTCTCTTTCTTTGCTTTTCCTTCGATCTAACTCGGAAGGGCAGGCTGGCTCGAGAACTTTACCGTCAAGATCATGGAGGGCGAGAGCCGGAAGTTGAAGTGCATGGCTTTCAAGTGTGCAACGATTTGTGACGAGGAAAAGGTTCGTGCCGTCTTAGCATCCAGGAACAGCGAGGCTTTGGCCCGGTATGAGAGGTGCTTGCTCGAGTCCTACATCGAAGACAATGCAGCAGTCAAGTGGTGCCCGAGCGTTCCACACTGCGGAAATGCCATCAAGGTGGAGGGGGGGCCGTACTGGGAGATCGAGTGCCTTTGCTCGCACCAGTTTTGCTTCAACTGCTTGAAGCTGCCGCACTCGCCGCTGTCATGCAGCTTGTGGGAGCTGTGGGAGCGCAAGTGTAAAGACGACTCCGAGACGAATCACTGGATCACCAGTCACACTAAATCATGCCCGAAATGCACTAAGCCAGTCGAGAAGAACGAAGGTTGCAACCTCATGACTTGCCGCTGCGGCCAGCATTTCTGGTAAGTTGTGTTTATTGTTTCTTCACCTTCAGGAGATGGAAACTAACTTTTCTCCTTGTTCGTGTAGCTGGAAATGTGGTGCTGCCACCGGCGCTGCTCATAGCTACGAGCACATTGTGGGGCATAGTTGTGGTCGCTACAAAGAGGAAGCCGAGACAAGAGCAGCCGATGCAAAACGCACGCTGTCGAGATACCTTCATTATTACAAACTGTGGAGAGCGCATATGGATTCTCTCAAGTTCGAAGAGAAGCAAGAACAACTTGTACAGGAGAAGATTGAAAGGTTGGAACAACGCGACTTGATTGTCAAGGACTACACATGGCTCAAGTCTGGGCTCCAGATGCTTTACAAGGCCCGGCGTGCCGTCTCGTGCTCGTATCCGTTCGCATTCTTTATGTTCGGCAACGATCTCTTCAAGGACGACATCTCCCCGGAGCAGAACGCAATGAACCAGGTGCTGTTCGAAGACCAGCAGCAGCAGTTTGAAGAACAGGTTGAGAGGCTGTCGATGCTTATTGAGATGCCCGAAGAGGTGCTGGAACAAGACATAAGCGGAGTAAGGTTTAAGGTTCTCAGTGTCACCGCGCTCACCGATAGACTCTGCTGCCGACTGTAAGTTTTCATGTTTGCTCGTTTCATGTTTGTTCTGAATGACGATCGTTGTTTGCTTCGTAGGTATGAACTGATTGAAGACCTCCTCGGTTCTGTGATTTCCGTGACGCACCACATCGCGCCATACAGTTCTCAAGTGGAGCGTGTCTCTGCGGAGCCCGCAAGTAAGACCGCTTGTTTTTGAGAGCTTGCTCACTTCGTAATGAGACTTGTTGGCTGTCTGGATGGTCCAGTGAACACCAGCAACCTCTCGGACCAAAAGTGCAAGAGGAGCATTGACGACACAGATTTGGACGCAAACAAGCGTCCCCACACTCACAAAAGTTCTTCTTCCGATGTTTATTGATATTGGAGCAACGAAAAATCTTTCTCACTTTCTGATTTTCCTGTTTCCCTTTTCGGTCTAGCAATGTCTCTAGGGCTCATGGCGTTTGCTGTGCCGCAGATTAGTTGGCGCTGCTCCTTTCCTGGACGACGACTCGAGGTACAAAGCCTTTGGTCTCCTTTCTGTGCGCGTTGTTTAACGTGGTGCGTTGCTTGCAGACTGGAACTTCGCTGAGAGTGGCTGCCTCCATGAATTATAGCAGCCCAAACTCTCCAGGTCAGGAGCGAGTAAGTTCGTGTTTCGGGATTCTTTGATCTTGTTTTTCCCGTCTTGCAGCTCGTCAACCAGCTAAAGCACCATCTTGCAACGAGCCACTCCTACCTCCCTGTTGGAAAGAATGGCCGTGACGATGACGAGCTGCTCCTCTGGTTCCTTCAGGATCGAAAGTTCGACGTGCCCAAGGCTGGGACAAAGCTAGCCAATTACATCGTATCTCTTTCTTTCTTTTCTTTTTTTGATCTAACTGCAGAGCTGTGCAGAAATGGCGTGAAGATTTTGGAGTAAACAGCATTACCGACGACTCCATCAGGAAGATCGCGTCTTCTGGAAAAGCGTATCTAAACTCAAGTCCAGACGTCAAGGGAAGGCCAGTGCTGGTTGTAGTTGCTGCAAAACACTTCCCTCGGGTGAGTTTACTTGATCCAGTGGTTCCAACCTCAACTTGTTGTAGGAAGAAGAGGCTCTAGCCAGTCAGAAGCTGTGCGTGCATCTCGTCGAAATGGCTCTGCAAAATCTTCCTCCCGGTGGCGATCAAATCCTTGGGATATTTGACTTGCGAGGATTCAACGCAGCAAACGCGGATCTTACCTTTCTCAAGTTCTTGGTAAGCGTAGAGGCGCTGTGCTTTATCTCTTTTTTCATCCATTCTTGTTGGTTCGTTCGTGCGAGAAGATCGACGTCTTTTACAGCTACTATCCGAGGCGGCTAGCGGAAGTGTTGTTTGTTGACGCGCCATTTGTTTTCCAACCGGTCTGGATGCTCGTCAAGCCTTTGCTCAAATCCTACGCAAGCTTGGTAAGCCTCAAGTAATTATTTGTGGATCGAGAAGTTAATGCCACTGTCAAACTCTAGGTGCGCTTTTGTACAGCTGAAAGTGTTCGGAGAGACTACTTCACCCAGGACACAGTTCCTCTTGACTTCAGGAAATAGTAGCTCTTTCAATCGTCATCATCCTACTAGGATTGAAGGAGCACTAGCAATGAATAAACTAAGGAGCTTAGCTCGAGCTATAAGAGAGATAAGAACTTTCATCGATCACGGGAAAAGATCACTTTATCTACAGCCCGCTCTTCTTTTACAATCCAAACCATGCCAAGAATCTCTGCAACAAACGAGGACGCTTTGGGGGCTCGATAGTAGCGTCCACTGTCTTTCTTTTCTTGCTTCCTCGCTTTGGGGGCTCGATTCGTGCCTCGATTAGATCCTCGATGTGAAACCATGGCACCTTCAAGGAGACCCTGAGATAGAAAAACATAGTCAGAGACACGAAAAGTATTAATGCTTACCTTCCCTCCATCCGCTGAGCCTTCTCCCTACGTCTTTCTTCCCTGAGACCCACAGGGTGAATTTCTACACTCGAAAAGATTTTACATTCTTACCCTCTTGTTTCGTCAAACCTGCGATACTCATCCATGCTCACTCGTCCAGCCGCGACTTGAAGCTGTGTAAGTGAGCCTTTTTCCAAGGGTGGATCACTACAAAAACCTGTCAAGAACAAAGAGAAGAAAGAGGACTGTAAAAATACGTACTCCCAGTAGATGTGAAGCTTGATAAGACGGCTAGGTAAGATCTCCAGCCGCAGCAGCTCCTCGTAACGCATCAGCTTTTGCAGTTCCTCCTTGAACACAAGATTAACAACTGCTTTGGAGGAACAGTGGTTATGAACTCTTGCAGCACGGTAGTAATACGTCGCTAGATCGTCTGGGATGTCATAGTTTACCACCAGATTCCCTCTGAGATCATCAAACAGCCGCTCGTCCCTGAGGGAGACAAACGTAAGAGTCGCAAGAATTCAATTTTGTCTACCTGAGATCGCTGTTTGTAACCAGCGCTCGCGGTCTCCGACGAAACTTGTACTCGTCACTGGTGAGAAAGGTGTCGAAAGGATTGTATTTCATGTCATTCGCTGGAGAGAGGAGGGCGCTGGAGACGAGCGCCACAGAATCAGCGGTGTTACAAAAGATGACATAACTGTGGAAGCGTTCGCGAATGCGGTCGCGGACGAACAGGATCTTGTCCTCGTGCGTGTCCATAACCACGAACGTGTGACCCACGAAGTCGAGTGAGGCACTCATCGCGCTTCATTCCTAGCTCACTGTAAATCTCCAGCCTTGAATCCGCGGCGGTGCTGTCCATTGTCTTCCTGGGAAACATCTGTCATCTTTGGTCAAGTCTTTATAATGTTTTAAAATTATAGTTTTGTTGTAAATTTTGACCTTGTTTAATGGTTGTAAATGAAAGGCCGAAGTAGTGGGATTGGATCCCAAGCTCATCAGTGTGAATAAAAAACTATGAAAGAGAAGATTTATTAATATGTTACTGTATCTGATTAGAATTTTATAAAAATAAATAAGTTTTAATTGTGGGAGCTAAGTACTAATTAAAATAAGTATTTACATGAGTAATAATATTTATTATTTACTATAAAAGTTAAAAAGACTTCTAAGTCAAGTCTTTAAAATGGTTTTGTAGACCCAATAATAAATTTAATATGAATATATATATCAACCTTAAAGCTATAATTTTGAACGAAAGCAAGGAACTTCAAGAGTTACTATAGTCCATAAAGCACTATTGCAATATCCCACCTTTAAATCTACCCATAGATAATCTTTTGAGACCATTATAAACTTAAACTCATAACCATAATCCAAATTTATCTTTGAGTCTTCCCTCCAGTCAACATCCAAGACTTGTGTTAACTTGGATTCACAACCTTTGCTTTCATCTAGCACTATATATGGGAGGTCAGACTCACTTTGTTCGTCCTCCATATCCTCCTTAACCCCTTTTTGAAGGCAAAAAAATTCTAAAGAATTTTCTCCATTCAAATTTATTATGTTTGTTCTCACTCTACCATTTATATTTAGCTTCACTTCACTCAGTCACACTATGTTGAGGCTAAATGTTTTTTTTGGACACACTATGCTTATCTTTACTTCACAATCTATATTATTTATTCTTGGTTTGCTATTGTATCTGTTCATCCTCACTTCATCATTGGGGTTGAACTCTTGTCCATCCCCTCTACCCCCTTCTTTGAAGAAAAAAAAGTTTGAAACATCAAGACAAAAACGAAAAAGTGAGAAAATTGAGGAAGAACCATTATGGGAGTAAGAAAAAATAGATAAAGAAGCATTAAGAAGAAAATTTTTCAATAATTAGTAATATAGAAATAGGGAAAAAGGAAAGACATGTGTTAAAAGCTTGGAGAACAAGGGACTTGCTATCATAAAATACTTCAACTACCATAATATAAGCAAAAAAGTTCACACTACTCAACCTTCTCAACACTTGAAATAGGAAAATAATAAAAACATTCATATTCTCAAGAGAGCACATAAACTCCTCAATAGCAACAATAAAATAAAGATTCTCAATAGCACTCACAAGTGAGGACATGCACTTTGCCTAAAACTCTAGTTAAAGTGACTCAACCTTAAGAACAAGGAAATACTCAATATTAAAATTAATCATAGACTTTACTAATAAAGAAAAAGCAAGATTCTCAATTTCATGCATATATTCAATATCCAAATTAGTATAAGAAGCACAAAAAACACTCAACTCAACACTGGACTAAGAATGAAAATTATAAGAGTTATAAATGATTAATATGCCAAGAGAAGAAAACATTACAGATTAGAAAAAAACACTAATGTTAAAAAACCAACTCCTTGAGGTGTTGTAGGCTAAAGAATCCTTAAAACCATGACCGGAATGATAAAATGTTCATCAGATGGGAATGAGTTCAAGATTGAGTTTGAGACTGACTCCGAGATTGAGTTTGAGATTGAGTCCGAGATTGAGTCCAAGACGGATTCTAAGATTGAGTTCGAGACCGTGTCTGAGATCGAGTCCGAGACTGATTCCGAGACCAAGTTCGAGATTGAGTCCGAGACCAAGTTTAAGACCAAGTCTGAGATCCAAAATCAAGTCTGAGATTGAGACCGAGTCTAAGATCAAGTCTGAGATTGAGACTGAGTCCGAGATCAAGTTTAAGATTGAGTCCCAGGTCAGGTCCAAGATCAAGTCCAAGATCGAGTCTGAGACTGAGTTCAAGGTTGAGTTTGAGATCGAGTCTGAGATCAATTCTCAGACCGAGTCCAAATACTAATATAGGTCATGGAGCAAAAGTCCAAAGCAATCATCCCACAGGGGGGAGGCCAGTTGCAAGGGGTTCCAAAAATATAATAAGGATAGTGAGGTTTAGTTGGTATAATAAGTGTGAACTTTGGCAAGGGAACTTAACTAAAGCTAAGGTAGTGGTGGTTGAATAGATGAGGTAAGCTGATAAATTGAAAACGAAAAATTTGTAATTTACAATTTGGTATTTAAGCTTTTTCTTCAATTTTAGTGAAGGATAGAGACAGATTACTTAAAGATGGCTAAGGTAAGGCATAAAAGAACTAAAGTAGAGATAGAACCTCCTTTAGAGCTGGATCCTTTAGTAGAACAAGAAGCTATAGTTAAGGAATCTTTGCACGAGGAGAACTCTAGTGAGGAAACTTCCGAACAAAAGTCTAGTGGTAAGGTTTAGTCATCTAAGTTTCAATTGGACATTCTAAAAGGACAATTGGTATAGATTAATGCCCTACTGGAGACCCTCGTACACAAGCTAAAGCTTAACAAGAAACAGAGGAAAAGGCAAAAGACTTTAGATGCTACAAGTGCAGAAGGCGTGGACCTTTTGGCGGGGATTGAGGTAGAACCAAACAAGGTCAAACAAACTGAAATGGAATTAATCTCTCAAGTAGTTCTCAAATACAAACTAAAGCCCCCATCGGTTTTCAAGGGAGTAAATAACTATAAAGTGGTGGAGGATTAATTTTACTATATGAAGGATTTTGAGTGTTGCTATTACTAAGTTTGAAGAAAGTCCCATATGCAAAACCATACTTGGCAGATGATGTTAAGTCTTGGTGGAGAACAATAGAGGCTAATGAAGGACCAATGGCCACTTGGGAAATAATGAAGGCAAGGATCCATGAAATATATATTCCCGAATGCTATTCTGCACTTAAAAAATTAGTTAAGTAGGCTGAAGTAGATAGAAACCATTCAAGAGTATATGAATCCATTCATGATGAAAAGGATCCTTATCACAGATATAGGCAATATAGATGCATTGTATGCCTTTATATCAAGCTTACAGTCTTGGGCTCGAGGCGAGGTGATACATTAGAACCCAACTAACTATAAAAAAGTATTGGATGCAACTATTAAAGTGGATTTCAATGCTAACTTGTGAAAGGGGAACACAACGGGGTTAGAGTCCATATTTAGCAAAGGAGTCAAACCAAGGGGATATATGGCAAAGGGAAATTCAAGAAGAGTTTCTCTAAGAATGAGTCCTCAGGGTTCCAGAAAGGGAGATCCGATGGCTAATGAGCAAGTACGTGGGGGAGTCAAGCGAAAAAGGACAAACCCACGGATAAAAAGGTCAAGTCTGCTAGTAGTGTGGGAAATAATGAATGTTTCAACTATAGTGAAGTATGACACTTTTTAAGGGAATGTCCCTACCCGAAAAAAGACAGAGCCAATATGGCTATTAAGTTAGGTGAAATCCAAATTGAGGTATGTGATTTGGTCCCTAGCTCAAAATTACTCATTACATGAGCAACTTTGGTAGAGAGTCATTTGCAACATCTACTAGCCTTTTGAGGGAAGTTCGAAGGTAGCTTTGTTAAAATCATTATTAACATAGGTGCTTTGGATAATTTTGTGGTTGCAAACATAGTCTGGCAAGCTGAACTAACGGTGCAGTGGTTGGGTGAATCAAGGACTATAGAGTTTGTTCAAGGTAGTCAAAGTGCCGATGAGGGACTTTAACAAGGAAGAGTCGAAATAGGGACATGGAAAGTAGATATGGATTTCACCATATTGGATATAACAAAATTTGACATAATCTTTGGGATGGATTGGTTTAATTAATTTGTGCTAGCCCTGCATGGACAAGGTAGGAATTTAGTGGGAAAATGATCAAAGGTGGAGGCCTAGGACCTAAAGATAAGGCAATGTAAGGCCAAAGACTTCTGCTTGAATCTAATATTCATGAGAGAACAACTCACTAAAAGAATTAAGGCAACATTTTTATACTTACTCTTAGTGGGGAGTGACAAAAAAGACAGGAACAGAAGAAGTACCTTTAGTGATTCAGTAGGTGTTAGACCAATTTCAAAATACCTTACCGAAGGAACTACCGAAGGGATTACTTCCCATACGACCGGTAGAACATTGGTCGAGGGTGCTAAGGCGGTGGTTCATCCCCCCTATTAGTTGAATTAAAAGAAATTCAAGGAGCTCAAGTGTTAATTTGAGGAGTTGGTGGATAAATGGTATGTTAAAGTTGAGCAAGTCACTATATAAGGCACTAATGTTATTTGTGACAAAAAAAGATGGATTTATATGCATGTGCATAAATTACCGATTACTTAACAAGTAGAACAAGTACCCTTTATCAAGGATTGAGGACCTGTTTGATATGTTAGAAAAAGTGAAATACTTCTTAAGGATTGACCTAAGGTCAAAATACTACTAGATCAGAGTAGAAAAGGAAGATGTCGAGAAGACAACCTGTCAAACAAAATATGGAAGCTTTGAGTTTTTAGTGATGCCCTTTGGGATGTGTAGAATTCATCCATAAGATTCACTCTGGAAACTAGTAGCTTTTATGATTGAATAGAAGTTCTAGTAGTTCTATACCAAGTAAGGATGATCAAGAAATAAAAAGAATGGTAGTCCTTACAGTAGACATATCAACAAAGTGCCCCTTGAGTTCTTGATTTGGAGCTTCCCAGCCTCCATAAGGCATTGAGAGTCTAGAAGTGTTGCGAAAGCTGTATGCCAGATTACCCACATCGAGCATGAGGATCAGAGTTTGGTCTTGACCCTGGATTGAAGCAGTGCATCAGAGCTAACTGCCAATCGAGCCATTTCCTGCTTGCTTCGGTCCAGCAGCAAGTAACCCATGATATTGGAGCCACTTTCTGGAATCCAGATCCTGAGCTTGAACTTTGGCAAACACCAGCTGCATCACTTTGTAGGGATCCATGGAGTTGGGGCTGCTGGGCAG